CCCCCAGAGGCTGGCAACAGCAGGCGGGGAACCTTAGCTTCTTCCATCACTGGAGCAAGCAAGCCTCCTGTTCACTTCAGCTGCCTGGCTGCCGGCCACCATCTTGGTTGCCAGTTAATTTGCATATCTCGCTGATTAGCCAATGGGAAGAGTAGCGGTCATACGCCAATTACCATGTTTCTCTTTTATTAGTGTAGATGGGCTTATTAAAATTTAAAGCACAGCCAGAGGAGTATACAAAACTACCAACAGACCCACACAACTGAAACACATTTTTTAGAACATTATGCTAAGCTAAATAAGCCAGTCAGAGAAAGACAAGTACCATATGATTTCACTCATATTTGGAAATTAATGAAACACTTTTTAACATTTTGCTGATTTTTTCTGGATATTTGTTTCTCTATTTTGTTAAACCTATTTGTGAACCTACCGCATACAGTATTCTGAACCTCCCTTGTGATGTTTTCAGACTTAAAACATCTACAAAACTGCTCAATTACATATGTATATTTACCAATCTCCATCACTAATCCTTTCTCTAGAATCCCCAAGACAGATTCTGGTCCTGGTTTTTCCATTAACTTGGTACTTTTTCCTGTCTGTGAAGAGCAACTGACGATGGTCTCTCTAAGTCTCAATCAGAGAGCAAGCCCCTAGGGGGAAGAATAAAGGAGACTTAAGATTCAATATGTCATCTAGGAGGAAGAATTAATAAGAGTTGATAGAAAATAGGCAAGAGGAAAAAGAAAAATAGAACCAACATGTCTCACCTAAACAAAGCATTTTTCTGTTTCAGGTGTCTGTCTCTTCCTCCTATCTACACTAATAAAAGACAAAGATGCTAATTGACTGTACCTTCGCTAAGCCCCAGGCCACACCCACCAGCCAATCAGAGCGACTATATGCAAATTAACCTAACCAATATGGCGGCTGGCAGGAGGCTTGGTTATCCAGGCAATGGAGGAAGCCAAGCTTCCCGCCTGTGCTGAGCCAGCTGTGGCCTCTGCTCATGGCAACAAAGTTTCAATTATAGAAGACAAATAAATCCCAGATACCTGCTTTACACACCCACTTACACACACACACACACACACACACAGAGATATTAATAGTGAGCATATTATCCCCTCCACAATTTTTTATGCTGGAATAAAACAGTGCCTAGCAATTAGCCAGGTAAAAGGGGATGGATTGACCCTAACAGCAGAACGACTGGGAATGACTGGTCACTATGACACACACTGACCACCAGGGGGGCAGACGCTCAATGCAGGAGCTGCCCCCTGGTGGTCAGTGGGCTCCCACAGGGGGAGCTCTGCTAAGCCACAAGCCAGGCTGATGGCTGCCAGTACCGTGGTGGTGGTGGGAGCCTCTCCTGCCTCCTCAGCAACGTTAAGGATGTCAGACTGCAGCTTAGGCATGGCAAGTGGACATCCCCTGAGGGATCCTGGGCTGCCAGAGGGATGTTTGACTGCCAGCTTAGGCCCAATCCCCTGGGGAGTGGGCCTAAGCCAGCAGGTGTTCATCCCCCGAGGGGTCCCAGACTGTAAGAGGGCACAGGCCGAGTTGCGGGATCCCCCAGAGTGCACAAATTTTTGTGCACTGGGCCTCTAGTTCATAAGATAAGTGAATTGAGATTACTTCAAAGATGCTCTAGAATTTCCAACATTCTATGACTCAAGAACTCTTCAGAAAGAATAAAAAGTTTAGCCCTAACTGGTTTGGGTCAGTGGTTATAGCATCGCCCTGAGGACTTAAAGATCATAGGTTTGATTCTTGTCAAGGGCATGTACCTTGGTTGTGGGCACATCCCCAGTAGGAGGTTTGCAGGAGGCAGTTGATCGATGTTTCTCTCTCATAAATATTTCTAACTCTCTATCCCTCTCCCTTCCTCTCTGTAAAAAATCAATAAAAATATATATTTAAAATAGAATAAAAAGTTTGAAAGGTCTGGGAAATGCAAAGATAAGATGAATTTTGGCTTTTGCTGGTAAGAAAACTCAGGAATCTTGAAAAAGAGTAACCTTTAAAAGCCTTTACTCTTATAAATCCATTCACATCTTCTCCACCCCATAATAGATCAGAATATTTTTGGCCATCTAATGCCATCCTCCTTTGGTCTCAGTGTGGCACAAAAATATTTTAATTCATTCAAAGTAAGCATGAGCTCTGGTGTGGTACATAGACATGACTGGAGAGCCTGATTAGTTTTGCAGGTAAGAGATTAAGCCTAGGATTTGGCTTTGGAACCAAGGATAGAGAGAAAGGTGTTCCTTATTCAGAAGTTCCCCACTTCAGTCCCCACTAAAAGCACTTGTTTCTGTTGTTCTTATCAATTCTACTAGCTATTGTTTCTAATTTGCTAACAAGTCTCCCAGACCAAGAAAGTATCTCAGGTAGATCAAGAAAAATGAAGATCCAGACTTCTGTGGAGGCCAGCTTTATGTCAAATGCTTTTTAAACCCAGTGCCAGGATGAAATTACTAAATTGTCAAGGAGACTTGTTTTGCTTACAGATTTATTTTCCAAATATGAATGGAATTCACAGAACTAAACTAAAGTTTAATGGGAAATGCATGGAATTGACAGATTTTTCTTACAAAAACTATTATCATCTACTGCCTAGAAAAGGTAAGCACTCTAGGAACTGCAAAGAGAAATTGCTGCTGTATATGAACTATTAGATATAGATGGAACCTGAAGAAACATTCTAGTCAAATTTCTTAATGAAAGAAAGACAGAGAGAAGGAGAGGAGGAAGCAGAGGGTGATGAAGAAAAAGAAGACAGAAAGGGAGGAAAGGGAGAAAGAAAAGGGAAGGAAGGAGGGAGAGGGGCAGATAGAGAATGAAAATAAGGAATCCAGTTTCAGAGAGAGGGAGTGATTAGACCAAATTTAAACAACAAGTTTCTAAAAGAACCTGGACTAGAAGTAGCTGTGTTCCAATTCTTGGGCTAAAACTGTTACACCACCCAGCCCCTCTTCCCCCCCCCGCCCCACATACCTCACTACCACTGGAGTTTGCAGGAATCCTCACACAATATCAGAGTTGGAAGTGCATACATCTCATGGACCTCTCACCCTCCCTGCCCCCAAAGCAAGGACCATATCTATGGAATCTCTATGTGTCCAAGGGGCTACATGGCCAAATCCACCCTCTGCTGATTTAAAAATTGCCCTGAACCTGGGCAGCATCCCTACTTCTCTCCTGTTGTTCCAGAAAGAACTTCCTCAGCTTTTCATTCTAATCTGCCTATAGCTGAGACAAAAATCCAAATAACCACAACATGGAATGCACATTGAGGAAGAAGAAGACAAATGTGTTTTGAAAATTTCCCAAATACACTCCACATGACTCTTCTTTTCTCTTCACCAGGCCCCCTGTCCTGCCGCCCTACCCCCAGCCTCTTGCCCAACAAAGTCTCTCAACCTAGGGCTAGCTCTTAAGGCACTTACCAGGGTTGTCAGGCTGCATGATGGCCATGGCAAAGGTGTGAGGAAAGAGCATGGCTGCACTCTTTCTCATGCCCTGAAGCTCCACAGTGTTGCCCTGGAACATGACCCCGTGCACATCAGTCTCTGTGCCCAGGCCAAGCAGGTGCCAGGCCACTGTGTCACCCTTGCACATGTCCAGTCTGGGCAGGTTAGAGAACAGAAACCCATTAATGGCTGGAAAACAAAAACACAAGACAGGATGGGGAGATGAAATCAGACTGCTCAGACACTGGCCAGCAGCATGACTGGTCTTCCATAACTTGAAATTTCTGATTCATCCCAACTCCTCTGCCTTCTTCCCTAAGCCACTTTAATTCTACTTATGAAGATCTGCCCCTTTAAATGACGACCCAACCAGCCTTTCTAGCTTCACCTACTGCTCTCCCTCCACCATACTTCACATCCTTGCAAAACACCTTTTCACATATACATAAAAGTACCAACCTCTCCTACTCTCACATTCCTGAAACTCTTCTCCCTTGCATTCAGTAGCACCACATTCTCTTACAACTTCTTTGATTGTTCCTCCTCCATCTTTTCCTCATTCTCCATCCCTCTATAAAGTTGTGCAGTTCCATACTAAGTTTTCAAACTGTCTCCTCTTCATCTTTAGTGCCACCTCTGGCCTGAACTCCTGCAAAAACCTCCTTCCTGGTATCCCTACCTGCCATCTATCCCCCCATTATTCTGTGAGTTCCATCTGCCTCTTAATTCCCAAAGCATTAAACATGGTAGGTGCTTATAATACACCTGTTGACTTTACATGCTGTTACCTCTCCCTGTAATATACTTTCCTTCTGGTCTCTCTCTACAGGAAACTACTACTCATGCATCCATCATGCTCCAACTCAAATGTCACCTTCTCAGTGAAGCAGAATTATTACTCTATCTCTGGTTTCCATGAAAGTTTATCCCCACAAAATTCTGCCATATCACTTAACCACAGTATCCAATTATTTACTTATAGATCTATTTCCCACACTAGAGTGAGCTAAGAGGAAACACATTATTTTTTCTGCATCTGTGTGACTGCCTAAGCACCTGACATGTCACCCAATACTAATAAGGTGCTCCGTAAGTTCAAACTAAAATGAACTTAGTTTTCAGGACTGTCTTACTTTTTCCAGCAGATATAACTGACCAGTAATGAGAAACAAGAGATGGAGCCAAAAGACAATACACTTGTTCTTAACTCCCTTGCACCCTCTACACTCTCCTGAAAAATACAAGGAGGCCTACTTGAAGCCAACCCCTTTTCAATGTCCCCACATCCACTGGACTAGCTCAAGCAGTCCCTTCTTCCAGAAATATTTTAATTGGATTGTTCCTCACTAATATTCTCCTTTGAATTCTATGTCACTTAAAATCTGTTCCACACAATTTAGCATTTGATTATAATATGTCTTGGATTGTTCTGTAATTGTTTAATGAGTGTTATTAGTTTCATCTCATTGCAAAATGCTGGGAGCTCCTTACAAACTGGGACCATGTCTTCCAATTCATTCACTCACCTTCCCACCTACTCATTAATTGATAATTCACTGGTTCATAAACATTTACTGTGTATTAGTGTAGAGGATACAGAGGTAAGCAACAAATAAATACTCACCATTTTGGGACAGCATGGATTGACCTGGAGATTATTATGCTAAGTGAAATAAGCCAGGTAAAGAAATACAAATACCATATGATCTCACAAATATGTGAAATATAATGAAGAAAATAAACTGACAAAGAAAATAGAAACAGAGGCATGGATACATGGAACAGACTGACAAGTGTCAGTGGGAAAGGGTGTGGAGAGACTGATAAAGAATGGTGATGGGATTCATTAAAGACAAAGACAATAATGTGGTGAGGGCTAAGGGAGTGGGTATGGGAGCTGGGTGGAGGTGGGCAAAGTGGAAGATTTTACTTATAACCCCTCAGTTGGAGGTGGGGGAATGGGGGACATCTACAATAGTGTCAACAATAAAAAATTAAATAAAGAAATCAATTACACAAGCATATGTAGCCATCATATAATAAATACTTAATAAAATATATTTAATGACAAAAATACTCACAGTTAAGGAGATTACACTTTAGCAGAAGTCAAAAGCAATGTAACAATTAAAATATTGGAGAGTGTATGAAGCTTCCTATTAAAATAGTCTAATAAAAATGCAATAGTAGTTCAAAAGAGGGTGTTATCATCTTGGGCTTGGGTGATCAAATAATGTTATATGGAGGCGTTAACTTTTGAGTAGGGCCTTAGAGAATGGGGGAGGGGGGGATTCCCCAGGAGAAGGATAAAGATGTAAGGAGGGGGATTTCAAGTGGAGGGAAAAGCATTGCGAAAATATGAAGTTAGAAAATCACAAGGTTATATCCATATAGAGAAAAATTGCCTTGTTGGGCTGAAGTATGGATTTGTGGAACAAGGGCAGTGGGTGATAACCAAGAGGAAATAAGCCTAGAAAGGTGTCATCCCAGCTTACTCTTCTCAGCCTATACTGGATTCCTTGTGTGCAATCCTAATTTCACAGTATCTTTATCCAGTGCCCCGATACTGTTTAACATAGGATACAGCACAAGAAGGTGTTCAGTAGAAGATCTGTTGTCAAGTTTAGTCCCTCAATCTGGCTCATCTCTTGGGCATAGCTGACCAATAGAATCAGTGTTTTCAGGGAGGTGTCATAATTAAGTTGAGGATAGATTTTACTTATAACCTCTCAGTTGTAGCTCAGGACAAAAGCACTAACTCCCCATACCGTGCATTCGATTGGAGTCTTGGAAACCGATGACATCCTGTGAGAGAAGTCGGGAATCCAACATAGCAGCTGCTTGATTGACATTGCTGTACCAGCTCTTGTTCTCATCCAAAACAGTAAAAAGGAGGAAGAATTCTTTATCCACTCCTTTCTGTAGGCCCAGTGGGAAAGAAGAGAAGGAGAAATGACAACAGTTTCAGCAGCTATAGACTGATGCTCCAGACCCAATGATCCTTGATTCTTTCCCTTTCCTTTTCCAGACACACAGCCAAGATCATATCTTCTGCCTAGAATTGCAGTTGTTGTTAGGCAGTTTTTCTCAGGTAACTTCAAATCACAGGTGGGTGAAGGAAGTCAGAATAAAGTGACAAAACTGAAGGAAAGGATTGTAGGAAAGGGAGCAGGGAAGAGCATAAGATATAGATTATGGATAATAAAAGATACAAAGTGATAGAAGAGAGTCTACAGCAGCGGTTCTCAACCTGCGAACCCTTTGGGGGTCGAACAACCTTTTTACAGGGGTCGCCTAAGACCATCGGAAAACATATTCTTACATATTGTTTTTGTGATTAGTCACTATGCTTTAATTATGTTCAATTTGTAACAATGAAATTGGAGGTCACCACAACATGAGGAGCTGTATTAAAGGGTCGCAGCGTTAGGAAGGTTGAGAACCACTGGTCTAGCGTCACCTGGGAGGAATGGAAAAAGGTGGCTAGGATATCAGGGGAGGAATCTGGGAGGGGGGTGTTATAAAATAATAAAAATAATTGTAATAATAATTAATATACCATAAAATATTATTATTACTGCTAACATTTACTAAGGGTTTATTTTGCACCAGACACTGTGTTAAGTACTTTATATGGGTTATTTTAATTAATTCTTACAGAAATCCAAGTTACCTTCTTTCATTGCTAACCCTTTACTGTAGATGAGGAAACTGAGGCAAAGAAAGGTTAAGTAACTTGTCCAAGGTTACGTAGCTAGAAATGGTGGGCTGAACATGAAAGAAGACAAGTAAGGATTAGGAGCTGCTGAAGCTAAAAAATAAATTAAGGTAAAAGACTAAGGATGATGTGTGTTTGTGAGTGAAAAAATAATATGAAAGAGAGCATAAAGTCATCAAATATTAATGTCTGATTCAATAACTTGGTTATTTTTTTTCTATTTTCTCACCTCTAGAACCCAGTTCCATGTTTAACTCCTATTCAGCCACCCAGCCTCATCCTCCTGCCAGCAGATTTTCAGGTCAGAAACACTGGCAATACCTGTTTGCTATCTGCATCCAAGGCACCAGCCTTGCATACCAGCAGGGGGCCCACCAGACCAGAATTTGTATCTCTTATGGGATCCACAGCAGAAAAGTACATCCAAGTGAGGCAGGCAGGATCCTGAGCAGTGGGGCCTGCATGAGGGGGTACTGTCCAGCGATATGTTACTTTCTCAAAGGGATTGGCCACCAAGCCGGGGTGGGATGAGCCTGCAGGGAAAACATGGGACTCATTAATCACATTGGGTATAGTAAAGGTGATCAGCTCCAAACAGTGGGGTAAAGATCATGAACTACAAAAGCATTTTGGAACAGCAGCAGGAACAGCAGGAACATGGAATTTTGAATATTTAAAAGAATCCTGGGTAGGAGTCAAGACACTGGAGTTTGGTTCCTAGTTCTGCCACATCTTGTTATATGAACAGGAGAAATTTAAACTTCTCTAAACTTTCCCAAACTCATATGACCTAAGGGATAAAAGAGCATTTAAAACTTATTTGGAATACCCCTCACTCAAAAACATATACTTATTTGCTCTTATATTCCTATCTCTGCTTAAAAATATCCAGAGTTAGGAGACTCACTACCTGCCATCATAGCCTGTTTCATCTTTGAACGGTTCTGATTGTTTAACACTTTTTCCTTTCTATATGTATGTATCAACATGTGGGTGTACATATGTTATGTATGTATACACACACACACAGTATGGAAATTCCTCATGAAATCAAAAAATAGAACTATCTTATGACCCAGCACTTCCACTTTTAGGCATTTATACAAGAAATCTTAAATGCTAATTTGAAAAGATATATGAACCACTATGTTCATTGCAGCATTACTTATAATAAGCAAGATATGGAAGTAACCTAGGTGCCCATCAATAGATGATGGAATAAAGAAGAGGTGGTACATATATACAAGGGAATATTACTTAGCCATAAAAATGAAATCTTACCATTTGTGACAACATGGATGGACCTATGCTAAGTGAAATAAGTCAAACAGAGAAAGACAAATACCATGTGATTTCACTTATATGAATAATCTGAAGAAAAAAAATAAACAAAACTCATAGATACAGACAACAGACTATTGATTACAAGATGGGAAGGGGTTGTGGGACTGGGTGAAAAAAGTGGAGGGATTAAGAAGTACAAATTGGTAGTTACAAAATAGTCATGGGAATGTGAAGTACAGCATAGGGTATATAGCCAATAATATTTAATAACTATCTATGGTGCCAGGCGGGTACTTGATTTATTGGGGGATTACATAAAAAATTTATCAAAATGTCTAATCATTATGCTGTACACCTGAAACTAATATAAAATAATACTGAAGGTCAACTATAATTGAAAAGATACACTAAGACTGTAATTTCTTAAGTGGACATATGTCATGATCAAGCAATGTGCAGAGATGTTATTTTAAAAAAATTGAAATTATTAGTAATCAAAGAAGTACAAAATATAGCTAAATAAATTTTTGCCTGTCACATTAGCAAGGTTTTTACAAATTAAAATAATCAGTTCAGCCCTGGCCATAAGGCTTTGGTGGTTGGCATGTCATCCCATGCACCAAAAGGTTTCCGGTTCGATTCCCTTTCAGGGCACATACCTAGATTGTGGGTTCGATCCCTTTTTGGGGTGTGTAAGAAGGCTAGTGAACAATATTTCTCTCTCACACTGATGCTTCTCTCTCTCTTCCTCTCTCTCTATCTCTGTCTCTCCCTTCCTCTCTCTGAAATCAATAAAAACATATCCTTGGGTGAGGATTAATAATAATAAGTTCAGATAGCTCTTACTCCTCTCTCTCACCTATAAAAAGGGTAAATGAGAATTGCCCTTTTGGGGATAAAAAGTTAGTAAAATTTATCAAAAGCCTTAAAAAAAGATTCATGTCCACAAAAACAGTAAGATATACAATAAATACTAAAAAGAATGTTCAACTTAATGCAAATTGTAACAACCATGAATTTTGTTGTTTGCCTACAAGACTGACATTTTGAAGAAGGTTAAAATGGCTCCTCTGTGCTGGTAAGGATGTAACAATGGGTTCTCTCTGTCAGTTACTGTTATGGGATTCAAAATTGAATGAAATTTTTTTCAGAAAACAATTTGGATATAGTTACCAAAAATTTTAATGTGTGCATCATCAGACACAGCAAAACCACATCATATAAAAATAACAATATATCTTGAAAAAATAACAATATGACTGTATGAGTGGGCAAAGATACATACACAAGGATATCTGTAGAATAACCCATAACAGGGTGGTATAATTTAGGATGATATTAACTTATTTTTTCTTATTCAGTCATTGTCCCCAACACTTTAAATTTTCAAATGTATAGAAAAATGTAAAGGTTAGTATAATAATCACCCTACCACCTGGAGTTGATTGTTTTTAACATTTTACATTCTTTAATTGATCTACATTTATGTGTATATATATCTGCACAGAGAGACATATACACACACAGTTTTTGTTTGCTTTTGTTAAATTATTTGAAAGTAAAATGCAAACAACACAATATTTCATTTCTAAATAATCAGTAAACATATTCTGTATTACCACAATAACATTACCACATCTAAAAAATACCATAATATCACTAATATCATCTAATATCCAATCTACTACAAAAATTTTATAATTGTCTCCAAAATGTCCCTTAAGATACTTTTTTATAAATAGGATCAGACAAGTTGGATGTTGCCCTTGGTGTTGTCTCTAATTTTTTCCCCTTTGGAATTCACTTCCTAAAGGGACTAAACCAGTTGCCCTGTAGGATGTTCTTTCAGTCTAGATTTGTGTGCAACTTTGCCCTTTATGATTTATTAGTTTTGGCCTGGAATTAGCATATGTTAATATTATTTTCAGAGAAAACAAGAAATTAATTACCAAATAATCTCACTTGGATTCCCTTCTGAAATAGTAATCCAAACCATATGTATGTACTCATTTAATGCATTAAATGATTTACAATATTCTATAATAATTAAAAAATACATGCACAAACAATAGAGGATAACGTAATAGAGGCAAATCCATGTGATAATTATATAGCTATCAAAATATAACATTATTATGGAATGAGAAGATGAACAAGATATAATGGGCAGTGAAAATAATATGATACAAAACTGTTCAAACCATATGGTCACAAATAAATAAATATATATGTATTTTATAAGCACAAAAGTATATTTAAAAGTATATAAGATGTAATGGCAATTTATCTATGAATGATTTATTTTATAATTTTTTACATTTTTCAAAATTCTATAATACATATGCTATTTTTATAATCAGAAAAAATTGAAAACATGTCTTTTATTGATTCCAGCTCTGCCTTGCTTAATATCATACATTCATTCAACAACATCCACACATGGTCATTAATTTTGCCTAGTTCTTCCTCCTTCAATCCCTATTTATTTTCCTTACAGAGCTACCTGCTATTACCTGCAGCCCACATTAGTTGGAGAACCTGCCAGCTCACCATCATTGTACACAGTTCCCTCGTAGTCTTTCTCATAAAAGACCCCATGAGGCTGTATGCTGAATGGCTGGGAGGCACGGTTGTAGAAGATCACCTGGATAGTGTCACCCACCTCAGCCCGGATCACTGGCCCTGTTAAATGGGAAGGAGAGACAATGGAAATGAAAACAGGCATGACAAGGGAGGATGGAAACAAAAACAAATGGGAGGGAAAGAAAAAGAATATGAAAAATATAGAGAGCCCCTCTCTGCAATAATAATAAACCCTTCTAAGTATATTGAAATTTATACTTATAAAAAGCACATTAATTTTGACTTACTGAATTTCTCAATGTCAGTTATATTAGGTTTATCAACATGGTTGCAGAGGAAGCTAAGCAAGGTGTGCAAATGAGAGGAGTCCGATCTGGTCAGTAACAACTGTCAAATTGAAGAAGACAGAAACACAAGAAAAAAATCCACTACCTTCAAAAGAAATGATTGAACTGGAGAAGCAAGCAGGCAAATCATGAGACATGCACCACCAATATGCACTGTAAATTCCACAAGCGTTGCCTTCTTATTTTACTTCTTTTAGCTGTTTAACTTTGTAAGATGCAAAGAGCTTAGATAAGTTTAATTGACTGTGCTGCCATTTTTCACATCAGAGAACTACTGGCAAGGAAGGCCACACCTGCCTCTCCCATCTACCTGCCTGGCTGGTAGGGAAGGGAATGAACTTGCATGTCAGTGAAGGAATAAGCTGGGTGGGACAACAGTGAAATCTAGAGTAAAAACAAAGGCTGTAAAATACAGTTTAATCAGAATACCATTTTTTGTTAAAATTATTTTAATTATTAGAATGCACAATTTTTAATATGCAAGTAAAAAGTTTTAAAACCTGAAATAAAAAGCACATTAATACTGATTATCTCAATTTTATCTTCAAATACTACTCTAAGTTATACAGGGCAAGGGATATCTTCATTTTACAGATGAGGAAACTGCAGCTCAAATTGACCTCAAATTTAAATGACTGATTAGGAATAGAGACTATAAAGTTAGGAATTTCTGAAATTAAAAGTGGCAGCAGAGTTGGTGGATGCTGCATGGACATGCTCCCAGGACCAAACTGGAATTACAACTAAAATACATAAAAATTTCCCAAATAATTAACGGAAGACTCACTGGAGATAACCCTAATACCAGAGGATGGAAAGTGAAAACTACATAGAGACTGGTAGGAGGAGCGGAGGCACAAAAGGGCTGGACAGGCTCCCACAGACAGAAACTGAAGCTCCAGAGAGATATCTCAGCTGTGTGTGTGTGTGGGGGGGTTGCCAATGAGAACTTTGGAGTCTAAGACCCAAGCAGGCCCCCCCAGAAGAAAGCACCAGAACTGAGAAGGGTATCCACATAATATCTGGTTGTGAAAAGCAGTGGGTTGGTGTCTGCCAGGAAGACAAGGCTGGAAATTCAAGCACCCTCTTAAAGGGCCAACACATAAAATCCCCTGTGGAGCCACTCACCTTGTGCTCCAGCAGACACCTCAGTTTCCTGTACTGAGTCATTCCCTCATGCTGTGGAGGTTATCTTCCTCATGCAGACAATTGCTATACAGGTGGCTTTACTTTGGGGGAAGACAGCTGACCCACCTTACTAGAAAACACCTTGCCCCATGGTACAGAGTTTTTGAGACCAATTAAGAGACTGAGACTAACAATTAGCCACTAGGCAGAAGCAATTGCCTCACCCTATTAAAAAAAAAGCTCTTGCCACACTTGTGGATGATTGCCTGAGGACAATTCAAGATGAAATGTTATCAGTCTGTAGGCAGAGGCCGTCTCTGGAGGATTTGAGTCTCTGCCTGATCTAATTAGTCAGAAATAGTGTTTGACATTGTCCTGCACCAGAGATTGAGAGGCAGAGCAGATTTACCTAATACATAGTCCTACACCTAAATAGGCAGCCAAAATGAGGAGATAAGGAAAAAACCCCACAAATGAAAGAACAAGAGATTTCTCTAGAAGAAGAGATAAATAAAATGGAGATAGAAATTTATCTGATTTAGAGTTCAGAATAATGATGGTAAAGATGCTCAACAGCATGAGAAAAGATATAGTAACTATGAAAACAGAAATAAAGAATGACATAGCACAAATAAAGAGCACATTGGAAGGAATACACAACAGATTAGGGGAAGATGAGGATCGAATCAGTGAGTTAGAAGACAGGATTGAAAGAAATCACTCAATCAGAGAAAAAAAAAACAATTAAAAAACAGGAGGACAGTTAAAGGGAGCTTTGGGACCACGTGAAAAGTAACAATATTTGAATAGCAGGTGTGCCAGAAGAGGCAGAAAGGGAGAATGGGATAGAGAATGTGTTTGAAGAAATAATGGCAGAAAACTTCCCTAACCTGGTAAAGGAAAAGGTCACAGAATTCATGAGGCACAGAGAACCCCAAGCAATATGAAACCAAACAGCTCCACTCCCAGACACATCATAATTAAAAGGCCAAAAATTAAAGACAAAGAGAGAATCTTAAAGGCAGGGAGAGAAAAGCATGCTGTTACTGCAAAGGAGCTCCCATAAGGCTGACACCTGATTTCTCATCAGAATCTCTACCGGCCAGAGATAATGGGATAAGATAATGGGAAGCAAAGGATCTGAAACCAAGATTACTATATCCAGCAAGGCTATCATTCAAAATACACAGTGAAATAAAGACCTTCATGGACAACACACACACAGACACACACACACACACACACACACACACACCAAATTAAAAAAAACACACAACAAAGGCTAAGGGAGTACATTACCAAGTTGCATTACAATAAATGCTAAAGGGGCTGCTATAATGAGAAGAAATAGAAAGAGAAACCTAGGCATACAGAATTAAAATGGTAATAAATAAATACCAGAAGATGGTGGCTGTCAAGACAGAGGTGAGGAAGAGGGTGTGAGTGAATGAGGGGGTGAAAAGAGAGAGTGTGGATGTGTGGTGTGTGTGTG